TGTGCTTTAAAAATGGCGTTGAAATTTGTCGAAAATAATGTCAACAATAATTTCCTGATACTGTCAGACTCTAAAAGTGCTCTTCAATCCATAAAAAATTTATATCCTACAAACAGTTACGTAAAAGACATTCACAAAATTTTATATAAAATTCAAGAACTGAACAAAAACGTTACATTCATTTGGATTCCAAGTCACATAGGTATACTGGGAAATGAAGAAGCTGATGCAAAGGCGAAAGAAGCTTCCGAATTCCAATTACAAACAGTAGACGACAGTACAGTTTCACCAGAGGATACCAAACATTTCATAAATACAACCATTTTCCAAAAGTGGTATGAGGACTGGGAAAACATCCAAATCAACAAACTACGAAAAAATACAGCAAACACCAACTTACTGGAAACCAAAAGTGAAGCTAAATAGAAAACAGCAGGTTATTATATCAAGACTACGACTAGGACATACAAAACTGACTCACAACCTAACTGTGATTTTTGTGACATACCTCTCTCAGTAGAACATATATTGTGCGAGTGTACAATAGAACGAATACAGTACGGGATACCAAGAGACATTACGAATGTGTTTGAAATAGACATATTAAAGTTATTGGGTTATTTAGAAAATACAAACCTGTTAAATGAGATATAGATCACTCATGTAAATTTTTAAGTTAAGTTTAATGGTGTAAAAGACCTAAGCTGTTCAATGCACCTTAAATAAATTAATACAAATATTATACTTAGGTCACGTTATATCCGCAAATGGTATTTTACCCGATCCAGCAAAAATTAAAACACTACAGGAATATCCCATTCCAAAGAATTCAAACGAAGTAAAAAGGTTTGTTGCATTCGCCAACTATTACCGGGAATATGTAGGTACCAAATTTTGCAAGCATAGCGCTGCCATTAAACAAATTACCTATGTCGAAGGTATTCTCATTTTGAATGGTCCAGTGAGTGTCAGCAATCCTTTGATTATTTAAGAAATTCATTAATAACTCCACCTGTACTAGATTATCCAGATTTCTCAGACGAAAACGAATTTATATTACAAACCGATGCTTCGGATTTAGCAATCGGTGCAGTTTTATTAAATAATAATGAAAAACCAGTACCTTACATTAGCCGTCCTCTCAATAAAAGTGAAATATTGTACCCTACGACAGAAAAAGAATTATTAGCTGTTGTGTGGGCTATAAAGTATTTTATGTCTTACTAACCTATCATAGCACATTTTATATTTATGATAAGCGGGCATAAAGTACCACTTTATGCCCTAGGGCATAAAGTATCACCATAGTAACTCATTTATGCTTAATGACAAAACAAACAAATATTTGCAGATCATTGAAAATTAGAAACGTCGATTATTAATTGTCAACACCTACTAAATCACAAGATTGGCCTTATTTCGTATAGTTTCTGGAACTTCTTGCTCATTCACAATGAATTGAATTATTTAAAATTACGTTTGACGTTTGGATGGTTTCAATCACATTAACAAATTCGAACCACGCATACTCGATCAAACATAATGAATTATTTTGTAAACGAATTTTGACGAAGAAAACTATTTGTAAAACATAAAATTGTGTATGTACCACGGGCATAAACTGATAGGCCCTCGAGCTTTTTAACTCGTCGCCCTCGAGAATATAAACATCACTATTATGCCCTTAATACATAAATAACTATTAGACCTTTTGTTTGGAAGAAAATTTAAAATTTTGACAGATCACAAACCGTTAATTTACTTATTTAATCATATACTAGTCCATCTAGTCGTTTGACAAAATTTAGATTACAGCTTGAGGAATTTGATTTTCGAATTGAATACATAAAAGGAAGTAATAATGTAAGTGCGGACGCATTATCACGTATTATAATAACCTCGGATGAACTTAAAAATATGCAAATGCACGCTCAGTTAATTACAGTGTTAACACACGCTAAAAATATTAAAACAAACAGATTGTTTTTAAGACCAAATCCTCACTGGAAATCGAAAAACGATCACTGGTATGACAATATACCTATAGGGAAAAATATAATTCAAAACTGGACAAAATCATCTGCAGAAGCAATTGGCTTAAATACTCAAGAGAAAAAGATGACAAATCACTCGAACAGATCGACCGCAGTTAGTCAACTGGCAAAAAATGGGGTTCAAGAGCAGCAGCTCATAAAGATTACAGGCCACAATTCTAACTCCATAAAACCTTACTTAAATATTGACCAAGAACATCACAACCTAATTATTAACAGCATGCCTGAAAATACATCGTCGTCAGTTACACTGTTAAACGTTTTTCGGTGTAAAATTTAAAAATGCAAAGTGTATGTTGTTTTCGTGTATAATGCTACACGAAATCTGGTACCTTCTTACTATGAGACTATTGGTAAAACGCAATTGTGTAGAATTTCTATAAGACTTACACCGTAACTTGTAAAAGTATTCAATGTGGTGTAATGTTTTTCGTCAGTATAAAGAATACACGGGTTCTTCGTTTGATTAACCCCAGATTGTGCAAATAGACTCAATATTTTTCAATTGTCTCGACTTGAGTCGGTCACCATTATTACTTCAGTCGGTTGTTCACATCTCTTGTATGATGCCATTGCAGTTGCACCTACATTCAGTATAGGTACCTTAGAAGCAGTTATCTGTATAAGACTTCAATTTTGAATTAATTTTATTGTGCTGGTGAAAGTAATATGAACGCAATTAAATTTAACTACAAAATCATTGTGAAGTGGTTAATGATCCCGGAGGACAGTACGTATGATGTAGTTATGCGGATAAAGGTAATGTTATACACCTATTTAGTTAATTGAAGGTTCATAAAATCTTGCTTTTTAAAAAATACTGTGCAGTTTAGTTGATGTTATGGTATTAGGGCTGGCCCTTAGGTATAGAATATAGAATTTTGTTTATATATATACAGATATATAAATTAGTTATATGCATTTCGGTTGTTTTATATTGTCTATGTATATGTACTAATATATACATATTTGTTTAAATAAATTAGTTTATTTAAACAGTTCTAGTAGCAAACGTTTGCGCTCACTTCCCTCCACCCTCCTCTATATTCAGAAAAAAGAAACACAGGAGTGCGGTTATAGTAACACGAAAATTCGGTTTTCCCGAGAAATTTTGGTGCAGTCGATTTTTGGTAAAAAAGGAAGGTTACACACTGCCTTTTTTTGAGGCCCGAAAAAAAAATTGTCTCAGATCGACCCGGAAAAAAATTTTTCTTATAGAACGTGGCCTGTAGAATCCATAATTTCAAACAGTTCCAAGATTGGGCTATTAGTTCAAAAGTTACAGCCCTTTGAATTTTCTTTCGAAATTGGTTTCTAGTCTATAACTTTTGATTGAGAAGTCTGATCGAAAAAGTGCGAATTGTTTTGGATTCTACGCACCAAAATTAATAAGAAAAAGTGTTTTCCCGAGAAATTTTGGTGCAGTCGATTTTTGGTGAAAAAGGAAGGTTACACACTTTCTACACTACAAATGGTTACCTTGACCGTGATTTAACGAAAACTGTGTGTAAAGTGTACACATCTTCGTGTGAAAATACCTACACCAACACGGGGTAAAATTTTACCACGATCATTTGGTAGACTTTACCAAAATGGATATGGTACAGTCTACCATTCCTCGTGTGGTCGTATATCGACCACTTTCCGTGTTGATTTTTACACGAAACTTTTTACAGTGTATTGAAACTAACACCTCTGGGTCTTCGTTTAATTTTTCGAATTGTTCATTTACTAATTGTACCTTTAAATAAATAATTTTGTGTTTTTATTTTAAAAAAAAGCAAAAAATTTTCTTTCGAATAACCCTCGAACATTGATAAATCTTCAAAAACTTCATAACAGATTTCTCAAGCTTGTTGCTTATTGGAAACAAGCTTTTGAAATCTGTTATGAAATTTTTTCGTACAATTATCATTGACATTCGCGATTTACTGTCACTAAAAAATTGATGCTACTATTCATAGATAGGATTGAACGCCATGGAAACGCATAGTATAAATCGCGAAAAAAAGTAACACTTTCCATACGATTTTTCGTCAAAAAAAGTTCAGTAATTTGATAACTATGCAAAAAAGTACGTTTTCAGAACGTGTTGTACGCGAAGTTTTTTGTGTAGAGATCCTTACTACCACATAATTGGGTAATATGAGTGACATTCGCGATTCTGTCGCTCAAAAAATATTTTTCTAGCAGTGTGATAAAAAAGTGAGTCAAGAGAAAGTGTATCTATACTGCTGTTGCTTTAGGTTTTTTTGTCATAGGGCTGGAACACGTTTTGGTGCATAATTCGCGATTAATTTGCCGCATAAGGAAGTTCTGGCGAATTTTCCTTATTTCGCTGTAACCGATGTCCTATTATATTATTCAATGGAAGCTAAAATCGCACATATAAGAGTAGATGAACTTCGCCAATCCGATAGAATGCAAGATTTCATTGTAACTGGGCAAAATGGCGCATAATTCGCTCTAAAAATTAATATACGAGTTTTCTCTATAATTTTCTTTCTACTGTTGGACGTATAATTTCATTAGATCCCCTCGTAATTACTTTTTTAGCTACTGTACGGATTTGCGAGGTCAAATGTAGGCCACAAGAAATTTCAACGTTAATTTCTTGTCGAGTTTTACGCATAATTCACGTTTAAAATATATTTTGGACTCTAAAAGTGTATGTACCGTGTATAGGACACACTCAGTAAAGGCGGTTCAAAAAATGTTTTTACCTTTTTTCTATTTCAAAAAATTTTTTCGTTTCCACCTTGTATCTCAGAAGCGAACATAGCTCAGTCTCAACCACAATAGGACACACAGTACACCGGCCTTTATATTTGAGGTTGACTGTTGATCTAATGGCAAAATAAATGAATGGAGCACGTGCAGGCAGTGGTGTTTGTAAAAGCTATGGAATACGTAGTACCCACACAATCAAAGAGAAACTCATTTAAGTACAAAAGATTGCGTGTAATATAAAGAGATAAAGCATATTGAAAAGTAGGTAGTTATACACAAATGGAAAATAATAATAATAAACGACAAGTTAAAAAATTATACCAACTCCTAGGTGCACATACTACTCGTCGTCACTTTCCGAAGTGAAGTCAATTTCATCACCGCTATCTTCTTGGTTTTGACTGGAATCAGACTCAAAATCATAATAATCATCGTTATTAATGCCTTCAACACTAGATCTTTCTGAATTGGAACTATTTTCAGTATCTTCATCAGTAGTAGCGTCACCACTGACATATTCATGTTCATTACCTCCCGAATTAGAGCTATGTTCGTCGTTTGTATCGTCCTGAGTGGAGTGACTAGAATCCGAGGCATCGCCGTTTTCTAAAACATCCTCACTTGAAACAGAATAAACTTCATAATCGCCATCGACTATTGATTCTTGTGCAGAACTAAAACTTGAAACATTGTCGTCTCCTCGACTATGATTCATTGAATCGGATTCACTGTCGTCATCTAGGTGAAGAAAAATATCTTCTCGATAAGAATGAAAAAGGCTATCATAATTTGAACCTCCTTCCAAACCACTTCCATCACTACTCTCATCCGGTGAGATCGAAGTATCAACATTGCCTACATAGCTGTGAATGTTACTAAATTCCCTGAAGGACGACGGCGACGGCCTTGGTTTCTCTCTCTCCTCTATTTCTGCCTTCCGCCGATTTCGGTACTCGACGTCCCGCCCCTCCACAATTTTCTCAATGTAATCGTCCAAAAGGGTCGTCCTCGAGTAATCGGTAATTTTGGCCCTACAAATGGGACAATCGCTTTTCTGAGCACGCCACTGATCGATGCAATGTTGGCAGAATTTATGCAGACAAGGTAGCGTTATCGCCTTTATAAACAATTCGTTGCAAATGCTGCATAGCAATTCGTCTTCGGAAATTTCCATTAATTTTGAAAAAATGATACACGTGTAAAGAAAATCGAAATTGTTACCTAAATAAAAGTGTACACTATTTAATCACAATACGTGGAACGTGGGTACTCACACTATAGATAACAACTACATTGCACGTAAACGCATAAAATGCCGTCAACTGGTCAAGTGCAAGGTACACTCAAAGTCATGTTAGAGAAGGAGAAAGATAGCTATGCGCTTACGTAATAGATTCCTGGTGTGGGAAATTTAAATTTGTAGACACGTAATTTTCGGAGGTAGATAAAATGTGATAGATATGTTTCAGAATCAAGATCAAAAAGCATCTACTTACAAGGCTATTTTGAAATAAATTGGACATGGGGCTGAAATGATTTATGAAAGATACGTAGTACGTGTAGGTACGTGTTTTTTGCATAGGTACCTAGTGGTGAAATTACCGGACATTTTTTTTGTAAATAAATCGCATGGAAAGTTTTGTTTTTTCACGATTTTTACTATGCATTTCCATGGCATTTAGTAGCAATTTTTGAGCGACAGAATCGCGAATGTCACTGATATTACCCAATTATGTGGTAGTAAGGATCCCTATCCAAAAAAACTCGCGTATCGGCTTCCTTAGTTACCAGGGATATAAACAAAAAAGAGTCTCCATGAATCCATGGCCCACTATTTAAAAACAGTAAAAAAATAAGGTTATTTTACGGCTAAAATTAAAAAAAAAGTAGTTTGTGATACATCAATGTAATCAGGAAAAATGAAACACAATTGATATTGAGATATACAGGGTGTTGCATTTAAAAATACCAACATTGGCGCTGCGGAATACAAAAAAATTCTATTTTATAATAAATGATTATAATTTTTCCACGGCACGTCCAGCATCCACCACAACCTAAAAATCTCGATAAAATTGACGAACAGAAAAATGTAACATGAAAACTCGTATCTCCTGGGTCGGAATTCGAATTGAATTGAAACAAATTTATTAGGAAAAATCAATCATGAAAGCTAAAATAAAAATAGGCACTCAGGGTCAGAGTACACATACCACGCAACAAGCGATCGATTGAAACAGTTAAGTAAAGAAATATTCATTACCCTAAAGTGTTAATAATCCAAAATATCCGGTCGTAATTGCGATTTTCAGTTAATAACGCACCACGGGGAGCTTTTGGCAACGCTGCCGAATGAAGAGACACGGTTGATGACAGAACGCAGTTAAAGTGCTTGCAGAGAAGTAGTTGTTTTTTCTATGATAAATACAAAACAAAGACCTTCATATAAGCGACAACTGCTCGATAAACATTAAACACAACACCCCGACGAACCTTTTCGTAAACTTCATTTCTTTAACTCGGTTTAAACATTCACTTTAACTTAGAGCACTTTCTAACTTTCGTCTGTGACTGACAAGACGGACTCTTGCAATAATACGCTCAAATACAGCAAAATGTCAATCACTAAAAAGTGTTGACAAACACAAAAAGCAACAATCTAAAACACTTTCCCTTGCTTTTCCACTTTCCTAACCATCCTCTTCTGGTTTTACGTGGGCGAAAAACGTCATGTTTATCTAACTTAATTATCTGAACGCAGCGATAACGCTCTTATCGCAATGACCGGAGATAACATGCGATAACTTTAACAAAACGTTTTACGCAAATATTTTCAAAATATGTTTCTAAATGGACAATAAAATAAAATCAAGATACAACGCGATTATTTAAACAAAATTAACACATTGACCTAAAATTAAAAAAACATGATCAAAATTGTGTTCATTCTCAAATTAACGACCACATTTACGCTTAAAGGAAATGGAAGCTCACACATACAGGGTGACCCAACATTATTACTGAAGTCAAATAAAACGTCCGCATGACGTAGTTTACACAAAAATATAAATACCCAAAAAGACATGCTGGACTTAAAAAGCAGTCGTCCCAAAGTTACAGTGAGAGAAACGGGTTTGCAAGGAAGGAGTTTCTCCTGAGGGTTTTCCCGGGAAAGGGGATTTTCATTTCATTCAAAGCAAAATCTGAGGCATTTATTGCAAAAATTGGTTGTCTACCAAAAAGGAATGGCCGGCTGGCAAAGGACAAGTTTGTAAATGCCTGACTGAATGATAGGGACAACAAGATCCTTAGTGTGGACAAAGGCCGAACTGAGGGAAACGTGTTTGTAGTCAGAAGTAGAAGGTTTGGGGGTGGTTTTGGTTGGTTATCAAGTTGAATGGGGGGAATAATGATTGGGGTTGGTCATATTACAGCTGTGCTTAATATTTTCTATCCTTTCCGTGACTTAGAAACTGACCAAACCATCCCCTTCTTCTGATCAAAATTACTGCGTCGTCGAATCACTAACCTCTGGTTTTACGTGGGCAAAAAACTTAACTTAACTATCTGAGCGCAGCGATAACGCTCTTATCGCAACGACCGAAGATAACATTGGTATATCGTATGAACGGTGCCAGGTCCCCAGTATTGATCATGGTATACCTACTATAGCTTTTTAATGTAAGATTTAAGGGTAATAATACTATGCAAGTTCAGAGAGTAATTATTGACTGAAAATGATGAGGGCGTCACGGTGTAGTTAAAATGAAGTTATTGGCTAGGGTGATTTTTATGTAATTCACCTAGTTGTGAAGGATATATGTGTATAGTTAAATTTAAGTCAGTCGGAAAGCAGAATAGTGGGCGTAGAATCCGTCGGCGATGTGGTCCATATTCCGCGTTCTGTAAAAAGCACTATTCGGCGTAATGAGGCAGTCGGCCGCCCGTCAACTTCTTTACTTTCACCATCCGGTCAATAGTTCAAAATTATCTACCGCATGCTAAAATTCCAGATGGACATCAAACGTCGTGTCGGTCCCTTATAAATTCGAACAACGAAAATTATGTCGCACTAATGACTAATTTTATGGTAAATTTAGTTGGTTCGCAAACAAATTAAAAATAAAATGATCAAATTACTAATTTTAAAATTTGTAGAACCCTAAACTGTCAACGGGCGGTCTTGAACACGTCCAGCTTTGACACTAACATCAACCATCTGGGGAGTTTTTAAAGCAGCGGGATATCCGGACGGAGTCCTTTAATTATTGTGCATTTTCAATTAGCTTTCTCGCGTTTCGTTCAACTTGCGCATTTTCTTATCATTCTCAAATGACGTTATATTTATTTATCTAATATAATTGACAGATCGAAATGGTCCAAGAAATAACCCTAACCAAATCGGAGCCACTTTTTCATGGAAGTAAATCGTAAAGCGTGAGCTCAGACTTTTTTTCTCGTATTTTCATAGAGTTGGTATTGTTTAATGTATAAATACAACGGTTATATGATATATTTATGGAAGATATTTTGGTATTTGTATAAGAGAAGATCCTCATCACCATTTGGGCTACATCGGCTGCCTGCCAAATAGCAACGGGTTTGTTGCTGCTAGACCTTGTACAAATACACAGTCTGTCAAGAAATCACTATTATAATCATCCACATTGTTTTCAAATACTGTGTGATACACGCTTGGTTTAAGGACTTTGAGATAAATGCGTTTTTTCGGCGATTCTCTATACGAATTCACTAATTGTCACACTAAAACTGTCTAAGAAACATTTATGGCCACAATAAAGAGAATAGCAGAAAAAAAAGATATACTTCGATGGACCTGTTTGTTTTTATTATGTAGGCGACAGCATGCAATAATCCATCTGTTTACACTTATTTTGTGTTATTGTTCGTAAATGTCTCGTAAATTTGGGTCTTTTCGTTAGTGGAAAGTATAGTAAATAATACATAAAAAACTTGATCTGAAATCCTGTCTTACAGGAGCTGCCATAATCATAAAACCTGTCCATAAATCAATAGTAGAACTTAGACCATAGGTTAGTGTATAACTTTTGTTCGGGAAATTATGCAAAGAGATCTAAAATGATTGACGTGCGTTGAAATTTGCTGGAAGAGTTGTAGAAGTTGTAGTAGAATTTTGAGTGGCAAAGTTATATCCTGAAATAAACGCATAACGTTTTTCTCATTGGGCGCTCAGGGATATGCATTTCAATCATTTTCGATCGCTCTGTATAGTCTGCTTTTGTCTAAGATAATGCAAATCAATATGTAAAACAAACCTATGAATAACTTTCAATTTCAATTTTCAACTACATTAAGTACGTCTTTCCCTTATTGTTCCCATTGGATGGGTCCGTTCACTTAGCGCCCTATTGTGCATTTAAGCTCACAGTTTGTGCCTTTTTATTTTAGAAATATTTCGAAAATTCAAATGGGGGCAAAAATTAAACTTTGCCTTACATGTAGAAAACCTTAAATAAAACTAAAACCATAACAGATAGGTATAGGGAATGTAAGAATTGATGTAGAATTTGTTTCGACATTTCAAAGTGCCAAAAAATAAAGCAGGTTTCATTTGAAAAAATCAACTTTTTAAGGTTCGAAGTTAAACTTGATCATTAATTTTAAAACACCCAGTAGAAGAGCGCTAAAAATCTAAATCGTTCGCATTTAGCATCACGTTAGTATTCTTGATTTTAGAAGATTTTATGAAACTCAAAACCGGAGCCAAAAGCATAGGACGCTAAAGAAAAGCAGTGAAAACGTCAAAAATCTTGAATAACTTGTAAACCTTTGATGATTGGTATAGGGAAATAGGCAATAAAATATAGGGTGTTCTATTTAAAATAAGAAAGTTGCTATCCACATCCTGTAAAACCGGAAGTGAAATGATCATGATAATATTTTCCTTCAATATACCTTAAAAAACTACGTTGGTATGCAAATTTTCAGATGTAAACTATTAATGGGAGGCTCAAGGAAGTTAGAGCTTTAGGAATATTTTTTATTTTAATAAAAGACCGGAGTTTTTTTGTGAACAATACGAAGAACGATGGATCTAAATTAAGTTCGAACTGATGACGAAGACAGTGGCGGATTTGGATTTTGTCTGGGGAGGGGTGCATATAATTTTTAAAGTGAATATACATATTTAAATAAAAACATTTATTTATTATACGTAAAAACATTGAACATTTTGGCATAGTACCGTAATATATTGAACACATAACTAATTATTAATAAAATAAGAAAAGAATAAACCAGAAAATGTCTAAATGACATCCAGATTTTTTTTTTGTAGTATGCGCAAATCGATTTTTTCCGCTTTCCACGATTAGGGCTTGTGTGCGAGTACACCATCTTGTTGAAACTAACAGTTTCGGACTTTTGTGTGCCGTACATCGTAATAAAAAACGCTACTCAATATAGTTGCTACTTTTTTCACGGGTCTTGTCATTTCTCCTTCACTCTCTTCTCATTTCCACATCTGAATCTTGCCATTATTTTAATCTTTTTTGTGTAAATTATAAAAAAACTTACTCCCTACAAATATTTTTTATATACTACTTCCTTGTGCGCTCTCTATCTTCACCCTCTGTTATATTTGTGCATTCTGTTCCCTTTGTGCCAGCTCATTTTCCATCTTTTCCCTGTAACGGATTATTTTCTTAATTACAAGCATTATTACTGTTCACGTTTATTGTTTGTCAATGATCTCCGTAACTTTTGGGAAGCAGTTTAATCTATTTTTGGAATTTTAACCCCGCGTCATCTTCCTTTTCTTTTTCGCAAACAGTTGGGTCAGGACTAATTATTTATACAATGGACCAATTGAACGGCTTATGCGGTCGGGGAATTCCGTTCCAAATTTGGATTTTTTTCGATTCTCACTAATAAAGTTCAAAAAAGAGGCACAGAACTATTTAACAGAAAAGGATGAAAACTTTTACCTAATCTAAGTTATTCCCTAAGGTTTATTTTATTTTATTTTTCTTTGTCCTTGCTAAGGGATTAAAAATTGTACTTGTGTATTTGTATTTTTCGTAGAGGATCTGTACATTTATTTGAGTTATTGAATTATTGTTTTTTATAATTTTAAAATTATTATTTTTCTTATAGTTTTTGGCATTTTGGGTTAATATATATATAAACTACCATTTATCAGCTCTACTTGTACCTAATCTAAATTTAAAATTTAGTTTAAAATGAGTTATTTTTATTTTTTGTAGTACTTTGAAACTGTACACCGAAATATGTTTGTGCTTTTGGGGTTATTCCCGTATTACATCATTAAATTAAATTAAATTTCGTTTGAACCAACAGCTGAGGCGTTAGTTTAGAACGGATGGAATTTTAATTGCCATCATCCATATTTTATTAACTTCTGGCAGTTGGATTCATTAATTGGGGATTCTGGAAAACTATTGAACGGGTTCGCCTAAAATACCTCCATTTGCATTTTCCGTAATTGAAGCGTACCTTTTCTTTAGGTTTCGGCCGATATTTGTCATACTACAATTATCATTCGACGATTGTTGCATTAATCTATAATTATCCCTCTTATTTAGGTGGTATGTGCATTTCAGTTTATCAAGAAAAAGGAGTTACCTTTTTTTTCTTTTAGGGTTTTAATTGTAGGGTTCAAGTTGTTCGACATACAAATTTGGGCAACCTTGGATTAACCTCACCATTGCGAGTGCCATCGCCTTTAACATATATTCCACCTGCTGATAACGAGCGGCCATTTTTTGGAATTGGGTCACCGGGTCATGAACGAAATTTGATGTCGGGCCTTTTCCGCAACAAAGAGACAACTTCCGTAACATTTTGGCGTATTATCTAGTAACTATTTTGCCCCTTCTGGGTTATATGCTATCACATTCAAGTAATTTGTTATTACCTATCTTTGCGATTTCGGTTAAGTTAAGATCGAGTTAGTCACGCGAATGCTATTGGAGTCTGCCACTTCCTTCTGAAGCCGTTGGCCGAAGTACCGTACCTGTGATAAAGCTTACTACGAGTAAACCGAGGCCCTTCAGGTATTGGTCAATTAATTGTGTACCGAGTTCTGCGGCTTGGGAGGGTTTCTTTTTTTTGCCGGTTTTGGGATCCGAGAACTGAGCTCACTTATTATTCAAGGTAAGTGTTGCCTTATATGTTTTACTTGTACTTGGCCCAATATGTGTGAATTTTTGCCCGGAGTTTCAATTTATTTGTGGAACCTTCTTAATTAATTCTTGATTGGAGGTGTGCGAACCTGGAAAAATTTAAATCATTATAGTCCCTTTCCGCCCCTTTCTTTTACAGAGCTAGGCAAGTCTAGAAAATTCTGGAAGAGAAAGCTATGGAAATAATTGTTGACGCACAAATGCGCACGTATAGGCCAAAAATAAGCAAAACCTAAAAAGGCAACGCTTACCTTATTCTCCTATCCATAAACCAACAAACAAAAGAAAACTCCAAGCCGCAAAGCTCAGAATGAAATGCACTGAACAATACCTGAAGGACCTCGCCTTCTGTAAGCTTATGTCACAAGTACGATAATTAATCGCCCAACCGCCTCAGAAAGAAGTGGGTGCCAATAGCATACGCGGGTCTAATCACTGAACAGAGATCTGAAGATAATGAATAGGTAGTTAATGACGTTAAGAAAGTTACTTAAACATGTAACTCGAAAAAGGCAAAAATAGTTAGTTCTAGTTGTTTCTTGGCTAACGATTAAATCCGTGGTATTGGACCTGGTGTATGACTCCGTGACCCAATTTCAGGAATGGCGGCACTTTAGCAGCTGGAAATTTTGTCAAAAGGGTGTTCGCACAAGCACACCGATGGTGAATTTACCCACATGCGTATGTAAAACGTATCCGGAAGTATACTTTGAATTCGAACTGGTCCTTAAACTGGGGTCCCATAATTTAAAACCCTAAAAGAAATTAAATGGAACCCTCGTCGATAACCTTAAAATCTACATACTGCTTTAAATAGATGAATGTGCAACAATAATCGATGGAGAATTGTATAGCAAATATCTGAAAACTTAAAGAAAAATATATTCAAGTATATGTAAATGCAAATGACGTACTTACAAAGAAGAAGCAAAAAACGCAACTACATATATCCTCCTTACTATTGGAGTTAGGGCGAATCCGTCCACACCATAATGCGGAATCCCCAATTTAATCACCAAAAACTAATAACGTATGGGTGACTGTAATTAAAATCCCATGCGTTTTCAAACTAACGTGCACTCGGCCACAGCTTGCAATCGAAAGAGGAAAATGAATGTTAACCTTCGATAACGACAAATCGCAGCGCCGTAATAATTGCGTGTTTAAAATTCCAAGGTTACGACTGTTACGAGGATCATTCAACAAGAAAATATTGGCTGCTTTGCAATGAAGAAAATAAACCGTTACACATTGCAATATAAATATTTCGAAAATGGCAAAGGTTAAAATTTACAATGTAACTATAAACGCCAATAAACGAATGACAATAGCGGAGCTCACTTAAACCCAATCTAGCATTTTGAATAGTTACATATCGAGCAACGAATAAATATAAACTATAACTAAAAACTGCAATTCACTTAAGATATTTCTAAAACCTAACAGTGAAGGGTGACATCGGTTTTAAATCCGGGGTACAACGATTATTTTGAATCCTAAGATATTATTGCAGAGAATACCATGTACAGTCTTTGACAAAATTAATGATCACCGAATAGATCAATCTCGCAATAAATTAAGATAATCTCGTTCTTGAAGAAACCGACTGAACCTGATGGTTGGTTTCTTACGCGAGAGTTTACCTATTAGGCTATCATTACTTTTGTAAATGATCGTACCTTTGTCCTTTGTCCTTTACATTGTTTTAACTAATTCCTTTGTTTTTAATTTGTTTCTATTATATTTCCAAAAGTTTTGTTGCGTCCACTATTTAACGAAATTGACTCATTTTAATGTCTACATCTTAAAAAGCAATGGAATCAATTTAAGATTACAAAAGGCTAAATAAATATTATTTCAGCTACCTTCGACACAAGGAAAACGCCCGCAAATTGGAAAATAGATTTAGCAAATGGGATTATTTTATATGCCGCTACTTACACCGCTGCTCGGTGTATATCGAGGCGAGTGCTATTTATTCAGGCAGCATTATTATACACTGACAGTAGGTCTGATGTCCATTTACAATTAGAGACTTGGAAGTTTAAGTAAACATTTTCGAACATGGAGACAGTACGGTCCAGCAATGCGGTTCGTTTCTGGCAGTTTAGGGTAAACTGAGAAAAGGATCAAAAATAAACATATGTGACTGCGTAAGCTCCTTGAAGTGTTTTCGAGTAGTTAAAGGAATGTAAGTGACAACGACCACCTGCGTTAGTTCAAGGTGTGAATTATTTTCGTTTCGACTATTTTTTCTTATTACCAATTTGTACAATACGTGGCCGCAACAAAAGTGCAGCTTCTGTTTCGGCTTTGTTTAGGGTTTATAACTATATATACAACTACCAGCATTTGTTTTGCAAATATTGGCCCAAACTGATTATACGGAAATAAAAACGAAACCACTTAGAAACTGTAAGTTAAAAACGAAATTACGTAAAACTGATGATATATCTTCAATAATGTGGGAGACTATTTTCTTAGTACCTACTTTTCGTTTTTAACAGTAACGTTTGCCATCATTAAACTTCTGAATAAAACATTCCTCGCGCAATTTGCAGGAAGGGGTTGAATTCAGCATGAACTGTCCCATTTAGTTTTTATTTAGGTACCTACAACCAATCCAAATACTTTAAGGGTTAAAATGACATTTTAATTTTCATTTATCGTCAACCTCGCCTACAAATAAACTTAATAGAAGAAATAAAGAAATGCAGCATACACTTAAATTCTGCCTCAAATTTGATTCACTTAAAAACCGTTCAGGAGTTTTAACGATTTATTTAAGCTTCTTGATGATGACGTACTGTCGAAATATGTAGCAACCATGAACATTCTTTTTGAATAAATAAACGACTATGGGGGAGGTTTAGAGTTTTTTTACAATAGAATTTATTTTCATAGTTGAAACAATTTTGTGAGAAGAAAACTTTGAAATGAACTTAAGAAAAACCTGAGAAAATGTGATGGAAGCGTGCGAGAAGCTTAAAAATAAGTCGACGACATTGAAAGCGTCTAATGAGGAAGTTGTGGGACGCTTAAGGAAACATGAAGGGAATTGGAGAAGAACGTTAGAAAGATATGACATGCGGAGAATATGACATGAATTTAATAGAAAATTGAAGATATGAACAATGAAGCTTGATGGGACCAGAGCTGGGCAGTATTCGATTTTGTAAATACTTTTTAGTATTCAAATCCTTTAAAGTATTCAAATACTTTGTAATTAAATACTTTTATGGAAGCAGTATTTGTATTTGTAACTCAAATACTTTCACTAAGTATTTGGATACTTCGTAAAGTATTCGAATACTTCGCATAGTAGATATTTGAATACATAACCTTCCTTTTTTTACCAAAAATCGACTTCGGGGTCAATCTGAGACAATTTTTGTGTCGGGCCCCAAAAAAAAAGCAGTGTATAATCTTCCTTTTTTACCAAAAATCGACTACACCAAAATTTCTCGGGAAAACACTTTTTCTTATTAATTTGGGTGCGTAGAATCCAAATCAATTCGTACTTTTTCGATCAGACTTCTCAATCAAATGTTATGGACTAGAAACCAATTTCGAAAGAAAATTCAAAGGGCTGTAACTTTTGAACTAGTAGCCCAATCTTGGAACTGTTTGAAATTATGGATTCTACAGGCCACATTCTATAAGAAATTTTATTTTCAAATTTTTAATATATTTGAGTGACAAGTATTTGAATACTTTTTACTGTATTCGAATACTTTTTATAGTATTCGAATACCTTTGATAGTATTCGAATACCATTCTATGGTATTTGAATACTTATTTTTTAAAGTATTTGAATACTTTTCAATGTATCTGTATCTAGTATTCGCTTGTGCTGGAATAAAAGTATTTAGTATTCAAATACTTTTTTACAGTATTCTATTCTGCCCAGCTCTGGATGGGACTTCTATGGGCATTTGGGAGAAACTGAAGGAGAACCTGCTTAAGAGAAACTTGAGAACTTAAGGAACAGTTTATTTCTTTATTTTTAATTATCTATTTATTTATTGTTCCTTAAAGAACCACAAGAAATATTACTTTCTTCAAACAAAATGGCAACAATAAAAATTCTCTCCACACAAATGTTCAAAATACTCCCCCAAATACTTATATTATAACTATACACAAAAATCTTAGTAACTTGACTGTGCAATTGAAATCCCCCAATTGAACAAAACCACCAATCAAGAATGATCGATTAAATTGATTTCTGAATTTTAAACCAAGTTGCCACAAATAAATTAATATTCCGGACAAGTACAAGTAAAACATATAAAGCAATTCTTACCTTGTATAAAGTTTGATGTTGACGCCAAGAAGTGACCTCAGTTCTCGCATCCAAAACCTGCAAATAATTAAAAGAAAACCTGCCAAGTCACAGGGCACAGTATATAATTAGTTGAATAATGCCTGAAGGGCCTTGTTCTACTCGTAATCTGCTTCTAAAACAGGTACAGTACTTAATCGGCCAACCCCTCCGCAGGAAGGTGGTGAACTCCAAGAATATTTACGTTTCAAACTCGATCATAACAACCGAGATGGCATTGTCTCTTTGTCCAGGATCGAATCCCGAATCCCGTTCCTTATCAGCAGGTGGAAGATATGTCAAAGGTGTTGGCACTCGCAGACAACGGTGAATTTAACCCAAGGTTACATACTCGTACGCCAACAGAATTGTAGGTAAAGTGTCTCTGAAACATAAGCTTGTCCTTACAGTTAAATTAAATTTGAATTTGAACTAACATTAATACAAATCAAATGTAAACCATCTTCGTTGATGTCACAAAATGCACATGCCTCTTAAATAAGAGGGCCAATTACAGATTAAGCAGCAATTGTCAATGGCCGAACCTAAAGAAAAGGCACACTTCAAATACGGAATATGCAAATGGGAGTACTTACGACAAGTCAGAAAAAACCCAATTATATCCTCCCTATTGGAGTTTTTAGGCGAATCCGTTGAGAAACTTGAGAGGAATTTGATATCAACTTGAAGGAACTTAATGTGGCACTTAGAGACGCTTAACAAGAAACTGAAAAACCTTAGCTGAGTATCAATGGTATGAACTGGAAGAGAGCATAAGAACTTGACAACGTCTTAAGCAGAACGGGACGATAATTTGAGGAGAACTTTAGGATGACCTTTAGAGCTTGGAGGAACTTTGCAAGAATTTTATGGGAACATGAGTTGAAGAAGAAATTAAAAATCGAACGTAAAAATATTTAAGTGAAACTTGAGAAGACTTCGGTGGGAACCAGAGAAGTTCTTGAAATGAACTGGAAAACAGAATGGGAATTACGTGAGGGAAAGTTGGACAAATTCGCAAGACACTTCTATCTAGAGTGTCTCTAGATTAAAATCCCTTTTTGATTTCAGAACTCCCCCGCGTAGTACTTCGATTCACTTAACTGTCTCTTTTTGCTCACGGTTTGTGCCTTTTTAATGTTGGAGATGTTTAGAAAATTCAAATAGGGGCTAAGTGAACGGTTTAAAAAAATAAAAAGTGCACGTTTGCGGTCTTTATGTCTGTCTGTCTGGAACTACACCACTTACCAGACTTGGTATTGGTCAGAGATTAAAAATTATTTCATGTTTGTATTCTCATTAAAGCATGAAATGTCCATAAGGGCTATTAAAATCGAAAAAACAAATTTGAAAGTGCACTCTTCGCTTCTTACTCAGAAGCGGCTTAACGAATTTTTATACTTAAATGACGGTATTGTGTAGTACTTCGATTGTGCTTAATTGTGCTTTTATGCTCATGGTTTTGGTTCAAAAATCACCCAAAATTAGACTTCTTCACATTTAAACGAGGGTTTGACATAATATTTCGATCGTCCTAAGTGCCTCTTTTCTAACCAAAATATTAAAAAAAATAATGCACGAGATAACAATTGATTTAGCAAATGGCGGCCACTTACCTATTTCAAATTGCAATTTCATATCCTCCAACTTGAGTTTTTTGCCGGTGAAGTAATTTTTAGGTAAGTATAAGGCAAATCTTATTTTTTTTATTCTTTAATGGCTTTGAGTTTCATGTGTATAAATGTACTGTTGGCATGTTGTT